GTCCAGACTTGAGAAGGGCATGGCTCTCACATGGCATCAGCAGCCCAAAGGGGATGGTGCCAGCATCCTCAAGCWCTGTGACTGTGTGAATGGAGAGGTAATATCTACAAGTGCAATCGTTGGAGTTACTAAGTCTTTCTAAAAGCTTAGCTGTGCCTAAGAGCAGTGGGGTTTTGCTCAAGTTTTGACTTCTGTGTATGCACAGCCCCACACTTTAAAGATGTCTGTACAAACATTCTGGAGAAAATTTTGCTTTCAGATTAAAATCATGCTTAAACCATTTCAGCATTATAAGGAGATAYCTGTGTATTTTGTTTTCACTGTAAACTTTCCCCACCTAAGTGTCTCTTTCTGATCCCATTTGCCATGTTAAAAGGAGCTGAAGRTCAGTGTTGCTAGAATGATAATTGTGCAGAAATCCTAGAGCTACTGGCAGGAATTCAGCAGAGCTCACATGATTCAGTGATGACAACTGCCTTCACAAGAGCAGGAATTTCTCATCTCGTGAGTGAGCRTGATGTAGACTCTAGCTCTGCAATTTTTTCTTTTGACACAATTTGGACACATCCATCTCGGGTCCTGCAGCCTGGGCTTTTCCACACGTGGCAGCACCGTCCTGTGGTAATGCTCCATGTCAGCACCCCCCTGTGCCAGCCACAGCAGGATGAGGGACCACCCCACTGGGGCAGGGAGCAACCCCAGCCCACTGCCAGGGCACTCTGTGCAGTCACAGGAGCAGCTGGAGAGGCTCTACCTCTGTGTGTGCACAGGTTCACCAGAAAACCAGCATGAGAAGCATCCACAGAACGTGAACAAATTTGCTCAGGTCCCATGAAGCAGGGGCCAGTGTGAAGGTCGTGGGACGAAACAGCTTTTCCCCTTTTCCCCCTTTCAYTTAGCAAAAACTGTGGCACTTTGTGGAGTTGGGAGCTGCAGAGAAGGAGAGGGGAAAGGTATGATTTCTCTATGTGGACACACTTTTGCTGTCAGCCTGACTTTCCAGAAGATGATTAATCTTAGTGCTATAACTCAGGAGGGAGCCAATATCACAAAATCTGTTCTGGGCTCCAAAATAAATACTGTAACTGTTCCCTGCCTCCTAACCTGGTGGTTTCTAAATCCTCATCTCTCCTCCTTGTACCTCCCCACTCCCTCTCATCTCCAGGGGYRAAGGTCAGAGATCCTCAGGATGGGYCAATGTCTGTCTCAGGAGAAAGCCAAGACAATGGCAACATCAAGGTGTTTGGAACAGAAGGAGACCCACGAGTGGCAGGTATGCCAACAGTCTCCTACCCCCACAGCTTCAGGTTAAACAGCTCCAGTCCTCTGGACTCCTGTCTGGAGCACAGGAAGATGAAGRGGACCTTATCTTTCTCTGMAGTTACCTGGGGSRYTGTAGWGAGGWGGGGGTCGGTCTCTTTTCCCAGGTARCAAGTARAAGGAYRAGARGAAATGGCCTCAGGTCGGGCTAGGGWAGGTTTAGGTTGRATATTARGAAAGATTTCATCACAGAAAGSTTGTCAAGCATTGGAMCAGKCCACCCAGGGAAGTGGTTGAGTCACTGGAAGGATTTAAATCCATGTGGATGTGCTGCTTTAGGGACTGTTTCAGCGGTGAGCACAGCGATGCCGAGTTAATGCTTCAACTCCAAGATCTCAGCGGTCTTTTCCAGCCGTGTCAATTCCAGGGTTCTGTCATCTGCCAGGCTGTTCCTGGTGGCCGAGMCATCCTTCAGGGGCTCTCAGGGATCGGGACGGTGGCCAAAGGCTCGGGCAGCCCGGGGTGTGAGCGCGGTGGGGCCGGTGCCGCTCCGAGGAGCCGCACGGTGGCACCACAGACGGCAGCGCGGACCCGCACGGTGGCCTTGGGGACAGCCCGGAGCGGTCCGGGGACAGAGCGAGCCTGGGCAGTGCGGACCCGCACGGTGGCGATGGGGACAGCCCATAGAGCCGTCCGGGGACAGGGTGAGCCTGGGCAGTGCGGACCCGCACGGTGGCGATGGGGACAGCCCGGAGCCGTCCGGGGACAGGGTGAGCCTGGGCAGTGCGGACCCGCACGGTGGCGATGGGGACAGCCCATAGAGCCGTCCGGGGACAGGGTGAGCCTGGGCAGCGCGGACCCGCACGGTGGCGATGGGGACAGCCCGGAGCGGTCCGGGGACAGGGTGAGCCTGGGCCGTGCCCTCCCCGAGCACCCTGTAAGCCCCGGGGGATCGCAACCCCACCAGAGCACCGGAGCACCCCAATTCCTGCCCTGGAATCCCCCAGTAAAGCGCTCCCTGAATGCAGGTGATAGGATTTATTGCTGTTAGCATCGCTGGTATTGCAGGTTATATCTGTTATGCCCCGTCCCTGGMARTGCTCAAGGCCGGGCTGGRTAGGGYTTGGAGCAACCTGGGCTAGTGGAAGGTGTCCCTGTCCATGGCAGGGRKTTGGAATGAGATGAACTTTAAGGTCCCTTCCATTTAAAGCCGTTCTATTGTTCCATTATGCAGCCTTAGCCCGACCCCAGCAGCATCATAATCATGATGTAGAATTGTCCCCAGCTGCAAGRAAAGTCACCTATTTGAATGTATATGACCAGCCTGCTTCTAAGGTTTCTAGTTTTGTTGTCAATCATTGTAAAGCACTTCATTTAACTAATTAGCCCTGGACTACATCAGTCAGCAGCAGAGACGCACAACTTGGATAAAATAGGAACCTGTTCTGTTAGGTCCCTCTGAAAAAGTTTGGCTATCTCTCAGGGGAAACGTGCTAAGCTGTACTTTTTTACCCAAATTAAAGGCTAAGAGGCCAGTTAAACTTATCAGGGTCTGAAAGTGTTACCTCACAATGGAACCTTGTCTTACCACTAAGAGGGACAGTAGCTTACTGACTCCCCGGGGATAAAGACACAGCTTGGGAGAATGGATCTGTCCTTTTCCAGTGCCACAGGTCCCAGCTGCTGCCCAAAAAGCTCACCACATTGGGCATGATGCCTGTGTCATATTGTGGAGCTGGATGACAGTAATCATTTCCTTATTTTTCCAAACAGAAAAGCACAAAGCACTTTCAAAGGATCTTGGTATTGTAAAGCATGTTTCATTTCAGCTTCTCATAAAAAAAAANAAAAAAAAAAAAAAAAAAAAAAAAAAAAAAAAAGCAAAATGAGTCACTGCAGAACAAATATCACCAGGCAGCCTGCAGAAAGAAGCTCCAGCCTTTCTGGAAGTCAGACAGTGGCTCTGGTTCCTGCTGTTCTCTCCTGCAAGATCAGCTCCAGGCTGGTCTCCTCTTGCAGGGCACCACAGGTCTGACCACTGGGATAYAMCAAAGACCTACACAAGGGAYCCCAAAATAGGGGAGAAAATCCTTCTGCTACAGTTAAAGATGCAGCTTATGCCCTCAAGGCTGGGAGGAGACCCCTGAAAGGTCCACTTGTGAACATGTGCATCACTGCAGGCCCCTTTCTGTCCATGTGGCCTGACATGGCCTTATCCCCCTTTAGAAAAGAAAAACCCTTGAGAATCCTGGCAGGTGTTTCTTGACCTGGCTGCTACTTTATTGCCTGCTCCAGCAGCCCTGCAGTGTGAAGTGTGTCCCCTACGTGGCACAAATGTGGTGACATTGACAGCTCCCTTTCCCTACCCCTAGCCATCCCTCTAGCAGCACATTCAACTCTTTTCTGCAAACCCTGCCCTAAAGACACCACAGCTGCCAACACACACAAAACACTCTCAGAGTCACCCCTCAATGATCCATACATTTGTGGCTGCTAGGATTAATGTCCCATGGCAAGACTTTGATCAGCTGGAACTGGAGCAGAATCATACCTCACAGAGAAAGGTCATKCTGCAAACCACACAGCCTCTTCCTGTAATTGGCTGTAAATAGTCTACAACACTTCTCTTTGTGCAGCTCTATCCAAAAATAAAATCCCTTTAGGCTGTGGCAGACCTCACTTTGATGTTYGTGGGAACAGCACTCTCAAATTATATGCAGTGCATGGCACATGGACAGTATTGTGTGGCAGTTCAGTGCCTGTGACAGTCCATGGMTTATATTTAAGCACTGAAATACAGTTGAATTTCCTTGGGTAACATTAAGGTCAGTTTCAGGTTAACTTATATCTTCCTGTAATCCTATAAAATAAATATTTTTCTGACTAATTTTGAGTTTAAACTCTCTGAAAATAGTTTTCCTGGAAYAAACCTTGTCACTACACTGAAGTTCATGTCTCCATTATCCCCAAAGTCGCCACATAAATGAAATTTTAATTAAGGACACTTTAATTAAGATAAAAATGTGTATTTTTAAAAGGCACTGTTAACATATTTTATTAGCCAACTGGTTACTGAATCAAAACTTTCAATTAATTTAGCAGCATGTTCCTATCTAACCTTTTTTCTAAAGGGTAAATCTGCTTTTCCAGCCAATCAACTCATACAAATTCCATATTGCTTATAGCAAGCTAAAACACACCCTACAGCTGTCAGATCCTAATAAATCTCAGACTTTGGACTGAAAATTAATGACCTAAAGCTAAATGTAAGGAAAAGCTTTTTTTTTTTTTTCTTAAGCAGAAAAACATACAGAGGGTCAAAAGTTCACCTTCTTGCAATCTGACCACCACATTCCTAGAAGGCAAGGCCARAGAAGAGGCGAATCTTCTACATTCCCCACAACAGTGAGGGGGATCCTGACAACAGGCAGCTCCACAGATTGACAGAAAGACACATCTACAGACAGCCTTAAAGACAGTGATGATGAATCCTTATGTTCCCTTACATCACAGCCTTGTTTTTTTTTGTTGCAGAGCCGCACACCTCCCAYCTCCCCATCCGTGCTTCCCAAGCACAACCCCAGTTCCATCACCAGCAGTATGCAGATTTCCAAAGAGTTGATCCCCCTCATCTCTAGGGGGGAGTGACAGCTCCTGTCTCCCTCTCCTTCAAGCTGCAACTCATCACTCATCTTCAGGAGAAGAAAGAAGAGAAGGGCTTTTGGGGTGATTAGCCTTACCTAGGGTCTCCTGGCCGGTTTCACAGCGGGGTGCTGGCTTGGTGGCCCTAAGCAGCCCACCAAGGAGGAGCAGGAGCCTCAGGACCATGCTGGAGCCCCTCTGAAGGCAGCCCAGTGATGTGGCACTCACTGCCTGATGGAGAGACTCCTCTGCCGAGCCTCAGCACGGCTCTGGCTCTCCAAGCTGCAGAGGAAATCAGWGCACTGCAAGGGCATGCCCACGTCTCACTGTGTGTGCAGTCCAGGCGTCAGATTTCAGCTGCATTTCAGCTTGGAAAGCAAAAGGCTTGGAGACAGAGAGGGAGGAGGAATGAGCTCCCCCTCCTCTTTGCCTCCAGACCGTCTCTCTCTCTCGCAGCCTGGTTTACAATTTCATAAACACTTTGAGCAAAGCGGGGTTCCTGCCCGGCCGCTCCTCAGCCAAAGGTCCCTTTGGTCTCCACGCTGCGGTTTTCCTAAGAGACGAGGGACAGTCATGAAAGAGTGTCTCCCTGAAGCCAAGAGAGCTGCCTGGAGAGAGCAGATGGAAAAGAGACAGAGAAAAGCAAACAACTGAAAGCAACTTTCCTCCCAAAGAGTGATATTTCATCACATACTTAGCTGCAAGTTTAAAACATTAGATGAGAGTGAAGGCACTCTGAGCTGCATCCCCTCCAGCAGAGAGGGAATGGGAACCCACAGAGCAGCCACCAGGATCCCCCTCTGTGTGCTCCTCCTGAGCGTTTTACTTCAGCTCCAGTTTACAGAAGCAAAGTTGGAGGGATGCCAGTATTTTCTGTCTCTTCTTAAAAAATAATAACTTCATAAATGTATATATAAGACTCCAGGAGAGCATTATAAGGTTAAAACTGGATGGTAAATCTATATTAAGTTGATAGTAAATTGATTTTTTTTTTTTTTTTAAAT